CTCTCTCTCTCTCTCTCTCTCTCTCTCTCTCTCTCTCTCTCTCTCTCTCTGCAGTATAAAATTGTATTTTCTTGTTGTTAATTTTATTATGTTTTATAATCACTCTTGTTGCTTTGTACATGCATTAACGCTGTATTCATTTGTACGTTCTTAAAGGATCCCTAGAATGATAATTAATGCTTTCTCTTTCTCTCTTTCTATCTCTCTCTCCCTCTGCTGCACTTAGAATAATAAAATTGATTATCCGGGCGAAAGAAAATCGATATACTTACCACTCGCATATCGCTGGATACAAGTGCTCAAGATTCACCTGGAATCTACGACAAAAAAAATTCGTAATTAAGTTATGTAACGGCCGCAAGCTATGTTTTTATTTTAACGTAATTCATACTTATGTTAGTACTTACTTGTCGATACCATCGAAAATCGTCTCGCGCGTTGTCAGTCCACTGTCGCTGTTTCTGCCGTTCTGCAATGCGCAAAAGAGAGAAAAGGAACGACAATCGTAATCGGGTTTGCCGCAGTTTGAGCAGCACAGCAATGTACACACCAACAACGTGCGAGCGGGTCAAAGTAAAAGCAAGCCTTACGTAATTTGAATTCAAGTCAGAATAGAGAAAGCAGTCCTCATCCGGTCGAAGGCGAATAAACAAACGTTTTCTGTGCCATTGATTTCTGCGTCCACGGAAGGACGTGATAAAGTTACTTATTTCACGCGAATGATAACGTCCGCATAAATTCTTAATGCGTCATGCATTAATTAAATGATTAATCGGCCACATAATACTCGAGTCTGAAATATCAATTTTCTCAATGCGATAATTTTAAATTCTATCCGCTTATGTGACAAGCAGGGTATACAAGTTTGTGTACAAATTGTATGTGGTTCTTTTACATATGCTATATAACAGGTTCCTTGCACAAAGAGTCGATTTTTGCACGTCGAATTATGCACCTGTGTAATGACGCCAGCGAGTGCTTTTTTGCGCACGTTTGCGATATTGGAGAGCATTAATCGGTTTTCGCTGAGGAACAAAAAGTGTTCGGTCCGCTAAATAGCGAATACCACGCCACGAATGTGTTTGTCAGCATTTGTAGTATCGGATATTGCAAAAGGCCGCGCAACGTGTCGCATAAAAATATATACGGCTATAGCAATACTAATATACGGTTGCAATGTAATGATAATTAGAGTCGCGCGAACGTGTGGTCGGTCTACGAGAAACAAGTGTTTATCAATGCTGAGAACTAGTATAAATAAGTTGTTGCGGCAGCGAGCTATTTACTTTACCAGGCCCTGGCAGATTAAACGTGTAATTAACACATGTAACATTGCAGCACTTGATAGCGCGATATCGCGTGGCATGTCGCGGCGGAAATATAAATATTTATCATAATTTATGATCTCACTTATATCTATTTCCATCTGAAACAATTTGTATAAGCTTTCTCATCAGTAAGTTTCGAACGACGTTTTTTTTGTATCATTTTATAAAGGTCAAATGCGGTAACCTCGGTCTCTATAATTAGATATTTTATTCTGTAGCACACGTGTGCTACCGCTAAGCATGAAAGGTTGCATTGTGACTAACCCGTCATCGATTATATACCCGTGCCTATTTCTGCTGAACGGACCACGACTTTAATCTTGTGCCCACCGCAGGGATCATGATGTAACCCCCTGTGACCGTACAGTTCCAAAACTTGTATCATTTGCCATGCAGATTATTGTAGATACTCGCAGTCCATCGGCAATCATAAATTTCTAAACCGATACTGATCGAACGACTACATGCGCGACGACAAGACCGTGGAGGTATTAACGAGTTTCGTGTATATGCAATAAATTGTGCACATCAAGCTTAACTTTGACAAGTTCTTACAAATTTCAATGACCAAGTTTTTCAAGATGAATGTGAAATTGAATACGAATAGGAAGAACGATTTTGCCAAAGTATTTAAAGTTTTATATATTTAGATAGGTACAGATCTAAAAATAATTTTGTAGAAAAATCAAGCACGATATGAGCAATATTGCAAAAAAGTTTTGTCATTCCAGCATCCAATTTGAGTGAACTCCACATAATAATTTTGCTATAATCGAGCAAAATTATTTTCAAATCTACCTGATATAAATTTTTAGATCCATCAACAAAACTTCTTTTCGTGTATATATTGTATTTCGGTTGATTAAAAAATCGAAAACAAACGAAATTCAAGATTTCGTCACGGTCTTTTATGATATTATATCATAAAAGACTCACGGTAATGTATGCACCTGCACGATAAACACGTTGATTTTGGTAGTATTATTCCAATCGTCATGAATCATTTTGTTTCCATTCGTGTTTATCAGCCATTAAATTAGCTTTGTCATGCATGAATATCGCATTGTCAAGTGATAATCGGCTTGGCAAGCTGCATTGTTTGCAAACAATATTCAGTGGTATAATAAATGATTAAAGACTAAGAATGTAATTTAATACTAACGATTTGACGACTCTAGAATAAACAGTAATTAATTATCGCATACTGTTACTATATATATCATGTTTATATACACACATATTATATATATATAACAAATACATTGATTGCATAATACTTAAAACGGAAACATTAAAAATGCGAGATATCTCATTCGTGTTGCAACTACCATAGAAATATTTGATCATGTAATATACATTGTACGACTGTTACGTTAATCTTTAAAAATAAACCAAACGATTGAATGTCGAGTTACGCGTTCCTCTAAAATAAATATAAAAAAAAGTTCTCGATTACATGAAACGTTGCGTCAATATTATATTTAACAAAACGCAGACTGGTTCGGTTTCGTGAACAAATTGACAAATAGATTTCGACGTTAGTAGAATTATTTCTCGAGAGAGAGAGAGAGAGAGAGAGAGAGAGAGAGAGAGGGAGAGAGAAAAGATTATTGGCTTACTTATAACAGAGTAAAGGTAAGATATTATTGTAAAAATAGCGGGACGCAAAAGTTGTATGGATGAACTCTTTGGAAACGTGAGCCATAATATTAAATAATGTGAAATCTCGAAGTATTTCGTGAGAAAGTTTCATGATGCTGATCTCCATTTTACACATGTTGAACGTTCTCACACGTATTTCGGAATAATGTAAGAGGTTGTGATTGCCTTGCGGCAAACACCGTATATTGTTCTATTTATTATTAATGTCTGTCGTCTCTGCACGTTTCAGCAAAATAACATTTTCCGCGAAGACATTAAATATTGATTTTTCCCAGTTTCGCAGCAATTCGATTTATCGAGCGACACTGGAAATAGAGAGAAGATTCAAGGCCGGAGTCTACGTGGCACTGCTATTCATCAGCGTCTATGTGCTAACACACAGACCAGTCTGGGAATGGATCCCGGTAAACAGTAGAAATAACGAAACTCATCTCGAGTCCACATACCAAGATATAGTCCCGCAAAATAAAATATCTCGATATTAGACATTTTGCTTCGTCAGTGCTGGCTAATGTAAACAACCATCGTGTTGTTTCACGAAGTTTTACGATGAATTCGTAGAAACGGGTGTAGAATACAGCCGAATCGATTTTCAATAGCCAATAGTGGTATGGACAGCAATTTAAATGACCTGTCTCATAACTATTGTGGAGCATTAACGATATATACGAGCTTATGTTTTCGATCGAATCGATCGCACAAACAGCTCTATGTCAATCTGACGGGATGAGTAACGTGCGTTATATACAACACAATGAGCACATCTCAATGAGCTCAAGTCGGCCAATAATCGCGCGTTACGATTCCTGGAAAACACCACCATTTCACCGCACACAAGAGACATTCTGAATTTCCTGGTTTCACGTAAACCATGCGAATGGAATCGCTTAATGCACACCGCACGGGATCGCAAAATGCTCTAAATTGCCTCAAATTGACTTAAATTGCGAGATTCCGCGTAATACCGGTATATCAGTAAAACTAGTTTCGCGAATTTGCCGAATATCTTATAGCTTTACTATCGCGACGCACAAGTCGCTTACACGAGGAAAATTGCAAAAAATAACCATAAAAATATAATGCACCGGACAAAAAATTGCACATGTCTCTAAATTTTGTATTTTCCGCGATAATTAATGCTTTTTGTTAATAACGATAATTGGTATAGCTATTATAAACTACTATATCACAATAACGTTATCGTAAGAGCTAATAGGACTTGCACAGTTTTTAAAAATATTCTAGACAAGAACTAATGTGTGACTTGCATAATTTTCAAAAATATTCTAGACAAAAAAGAAATTTTTATCTAAAAATTAAATTTAAGAAATTTAACAAATCTAAAGAATATGTACATTTTTTTAATGTTAAATATATCCATAGATACTATCTGAGTAAGCTTGTCATTTTATCGTTTTTGGTATGAATACAAATAGAACGTCTTTGTCCAAAGCCTCCTATTGTCCAAATAATCTTTATTTGAACATCCTACTATTCGAACAGTCTATTATCAGGACAGAGAATATCTCCTTGTAGAATACACTCCTTCTCTCTTTCTATTGAAACAACTATACTTCCTGCAGAAGATATGAAAGATAAATATCAGCTGACGGGAAACGTCAATACTGTGACTGAATTGAATAGAAAAAAAAAAAAGAAAAGATCTTCATAAAAATCTACTTGTGATCTTGGAAAATTACTTTCTGGAGTAAAGCGCTTTTTACATTGACCAACTTATTAACAATACGAATTATCTATATATTCCGATGTATACCTAGAGTATACTGAAAAGTTTAATACAGTTTACTGAAAATGGAGTACGAAGTATGTATTCCCGCATTGCTGGTTACAATCGATACGAGGCCGTGTCTTTTGGACTTCGTGACGCGAAATCTATTTGCGGCGCGGCGGCGCGCTATCAGATAAGCGTAACGTACTTGTAATCTACGGTTCAGATCGCTCGTAATATCTGCGCGGTCACCCAGTTACGTTGTCATTGATGCACCGCGGCTAGGGACAAATTGTTGCTCGTTAGATAACGATCGATTGAAAAATTTATCGGCTGTTTTTCATCCGAACACGATATCTGTGTCACAACGGAGCTATACGTAAATCGTCGTGAATCGATTATGTCTGTCTGTTGACAGGTTTTGCAGATACGAGGTCGTGGATAGAACAAATATTCTGCGTTATTATAGTCTCGTCGTTTAACATATCATCAGGCTTTAGAGTAAAAATGTTACACACGCGATCGTGTCATTTCTTCTTTTATAAACTGCCTCGGTTACGTTGCGCCGCTATTTATATATACATATTTTCTCTACCGCGATTTTCTAAACTATTATAAAATAGACCGAGAATAAACTGATTTAAGTCAGAGACACATAAAAGCAAACTGTAGAAAACGGAAAATAAATATGAGAATCCAAACATAACATAAATCGTCCGTCTTTCTCCATCACCCCGTCTCTGTTTTTCTTTAGGAGGGACGGTAAAAAAAATACATCGAAGTACTTGCATGCATCAAGTATTTGGCAAACGAACGTGTAGCGCGTATAGAGCTCGGCATAAGGAATGCATTCTGGGATTCTGCTAAATCCACCATAATTCTAATCCGCGTAGCAACAAGGCGGCATTTAAACGCATGCACGCGGTATTATACGGCGGGATTTTTGCAAGTCCCATCTGTGCAGCGCGCGCAGAACAGGACTGGTAAGTCATCCCAGGCAAAGGCAACGTCAGACGATGCCCCCGACTCGGTAAACATTCGCCGAGTCGTGACAAATGCCGCGTCCGAATGAGGCGCATGCACTCGACGAATCTCGAATTGGAGATATGACAATGCGACAAAAATTCACGTACAGCGCGTTCGCATTCATCAAATGTTTGGTAAAGGAGAGCGTCACACATATTAATGCATGAAGCGGAGAGTCTCGCAAAACCAGACCGACCGACGCAACTTTCTCGACACATTGTAGAGGCAGACAGTCGCGAAGGAGGCGAAGGTAAACGTCACTCGAGGCATGCCGCGGTGAATCGCCTTATTGCGGGACACACACATGCGCATGGAAAAGAAGGGTGCTCAACTTGGGGATTCATCAACCTGACTGTTTTCTCTTTGTTTTTATTAACGACCATGTCGCGCGCGCGTTAGAGCAGCAAGAAACGAATATAATTTCAATCAAAGTCAGAGGAAAGAGTGTATAATCGGCATTGTAAAATCGTGATCGTCCCTAAGTTTGGACTATCCCAAGATTGAGTATACTCTCCTCTACCTAAGAAGAAGCAGCAAACAGGAAAGCGCAGCGAACCCGTCCATCTGTTCCCAGCCGCGACTTACCAGCGTAAGCAGGACTCGCGCTGACTTTTCCTTCAGCACGGACGCAATCTCGTCGGTATAATGAATCTCGTTCACGCCATATCGTTCCTTGAAGTCGTCCCGAGTATGCAGCTTGCCCTCCCAAATCGCGTACTCGGGTGGTAACCTCGGCACAAAGAGAATCGAGGCACCGGTGATCACGTCGATAGCGCCGTAACAGTCTGGCTCCTCCACGCCGAAGCACCATTGAAAGAAGGACTCCTGATAAAGAGAACAAATAAAACTATATACGAGCTGTGAAAGAGTACGGAAGTCGCAATAGCAATGCTGAATAATAGATAGGCTTCGGAAGAAGAACGTCGCGCGTAATAATAGCGGCGCAATATCGTCTATCATCTCTTTAAATATAACTAACTCTAGAAATAGTCTATAATAGCGTGACAGTATATTACTATCTAATGTACAAATACTTTCAACCTTATACAAGAGTAGAAACGTTGGATCACATAAAAATTATAAAACATAAATAAAAAGCCCGTAACAACGGAATAATGAAGAATGAAAAAGCGATACATATGCGATAAACGTTTCTCTTTTATTGCAAAATCGATAACCGCTTGCGTAATCGAGGTGAAGAACGGCGTCCAACGAGATGGAGAATGTCTGATGCAGCGGTGATATTTACGATTATTTCCACGCGTTCCCGTTCTCGCGGAGATGAGTTCCTTTCTCGAAATCGAATGTCGCGGTACTTATTCCTTCCAGACTTCCTCGTGCAAATAGGTCATCACGCGATATTACGTGAGAAATCGATGCTGGCTCGGCGCAGCGCACGCCAAGTATATTCCGACCGTGTTTAAGAAGATATCGCCAGGGCCACGTCATCGAGTCGATGTCCAGGTACCCGGTCGTCAAGGAGATTTTTCTCGACTTTTGATAGACGACGTTTCGCAATCATGCGAATCGACGTCCTAGAGCGTCCAGTCTCCTTCAAGGATACGGATCGCCGGCGAACGGAATTTCTCTTTGCTTTCAATCTTTTGTATTTCTATCTTCTTTTTTTTGCCTTAAACGCGATAAAAATACTACAGTGGATTCTCCGTGGCGATCTCACGCCCGGTCGGGTCTTGAATTCCCTCGGAGGCTTCGAAAAAGCTTGTACAGGAAACAGGATCACGCGAGTGTGTCCGCGCCGGCTTCCCCTTCGCCTGTGATGGCCGAAGCGGAAATGCCGTTCCTGGTTTCTACTGTTCGGTGCCGTTTTTATCAGTCGAACCGCCGAGATCGCATCACTCAAAGGCGTCTTTAAAGGATCTTCTCACCTTTTTATATTAAAATTCTAGACCCTTCTGGGATATGTGAAACATTTTTTGTGGCCTTAACGACAATAAAACTAACTGCAGTTTCCAAAAGAAAGAACGAAAAAATGGACAACATCGCGTTCAATAATACTGTATAAATGTAATATAAGTGTAATTATAATATTATGTTACTTTTAATTTGTGTTGATTGGATATATTTTAGAATCACTAAAATAATATTCGTCTCCCTTCTATTTATGTTAACCCTTTGTGTTTATACAAGTCGTGAATCTACGTTGGTTTCAATCTCAATGTTGATAAAAATAATACTTTAGTCCTACACTATATGTGTAAGAAAAACATGGATGGATGAGTGAAGTATATGGTAGGAACAATGTTTGTAAACCAAGTCTCATTCTTGTAAATGGCTTTGTAAATGTTGAAGAAAATAAAATTCTTCTTTTATTACCACTTTAGACCCGAATGGCATTTTTATTTATAAATTATAGTTTTCTCTAAACAAAATTTCACTCCCAATCAGTATTAGTAGACTGTTGAACAAACGGAATACAATCACATATGAAGAAGAGAGAGAGAGAAAAGAAATACGGCAGGTGCAGTTGCGAAGAGAACGAATCCACTGTATATACCTGATGCTATACAATATCGCGTCTTTAGCGACATTGGCGGAGGCAAGATCGCCGCCACCGCCGCCGCCGTTGCCATCGTCGCCGTGGTGAGTTCCGAAAAATCCGGCAGATCGGAATTCCAAGGGTGAAGCGATGAGAAATGAACCGAGCGAGCCCGTGCGAGTCGTAACGCGTTGCGCCTTGTTGTGTTTGGGTTCAAGAGCTAGGCCATCTCACTCTCTCCGTCTCCTGGTCGCTCTCGGGCTCTCATTTCCGTCCGATGCCGAGAGAAACGAGGACGGGGATGAGGGAATAAGAGAGTAAGAGAACATCTTGAGAACGATCAGGTCAACGCGCTCTCTCGGCGCAGCCAGCAGGTATTATCTTAAAGAAGTTCTGTGTATATATAGATATATACAGCAGCACGATAGAGTGTGTATCTCGCAGTAGAGATAATATCTATTACTTTACCGCAGCTGCGTTTTATATAATAAAGCGTTGACGAATGATTTTTTATAGACTTTCTCGCGCCTTTTGTATGAAATATTCCTAAATATCAAAATAATTTTTTTTCTCTTTCTTTTTTCAAGTACAATTTTACAAAGTTTGATTAATTTGTTGAATTATTTAAGAACTATTATCATTATTATCTTCGCTAGGAGTGGCGCATGTATCAGACGGACAGTCAAGAACACAATGAGAATACGCATTAAAAAAGAATTCGGCGACGAAAGGGTTCCGTATTGATCGCAACATCGCGCAACAATAGCATCGCGATATCGAATTCAGCACGAGTACGTCGTTTTAACTCGTCGAGTGAGCGGAGCGAGCGCTGCGCACAAAGAAACGAGTGGTGCATGCTATTCGCCAAATTAGAAACTGGAACACCACCTTGATTGCATGCATGCGGGATGCTCCGCAGAAGCACCGGATGTACCAGTCGTGAATTCAACAAATTTCCCATCGACTCTTTTCTATAGAAATTATCTGTGAAATCTGCTGTTGCCCTACCTTTGTCGTTAAATATTCTTAAAACGAAAACATAAATTACATTAGTATCAATTTCCTAGCTCAAAATTGCAATGTAAATAATAAAATTAGTAAAAAGGCCAAATTGAATAGAGCCAGACTTAAAACTAATTTATTAAGACGTTAAGAAAGGATTAAAACTGGGGTTATTCATTAATATACAATGCACGGAACGTTTCGACTATATTAAGCCTTCTACGTTCCATATATTGTACATTAATAAATAACTAGTTTTAATCATCTTAATCTATTCAAATGTTTTGACCTTTCTCTCAGAGAGAGAGAGAGAGAGAGAGAGAGAGAGAGAGAGAGAGAAATGTAATTTATAATAAAATTGGTAGAGACCAATTTTATTATAAATTACATTTCTCTATTACGACCATTAAAATAACTGATACTTGGAAGTGAATGGATGAAGATATACAATTCTCTCTAAGCTCATAAACTCGGCACAAATGTCGCTTGGGAAGATTAACAATGACGCAAGCGTAGCACAAATTCGAGCTGGTCTGAGACATATCGAGATAATATTCACGCTATAAAAACCATAGCGCATTAAAAAAAAAACGTAACCAGCAAAACTGAAACAAGAATCCCCCAGTCGAATGCTCTTCTTGTAAATTTACTTCGCTCAAGTTCCGTTTTTTTCACAAGTCAACCGCAAAGATACCATCTTCGTTGCGTTTATAATTTCTATTTTTTCTCCGACATATGAAAATTTACCGTACGAATTTACCGTAAAGCAGAATGATCTCGTAGGCGAGGAGTAATTTGGGTCGAATTGTGTAGCCATGTTTAACGCTGAGTACGTTGAATGCGTATGATTATCAATCCGATGTTACACTGAATGCAACATACATCAGATTAGAACGTAGTTACATACCCACCTAACTGAATAACGCCTCATGAATTACATGTTGGTTTATGAATTAGAGAGTAATTTATATACGCGAAATGATGAAAAGCACTGGAACATTATTTTTAGATGTTTACAATAGCTGTAACTTCAACAAACAAATTCTGAGCAATGTAAGCGGTTAGTACTTGTATAAGCACACAAAGATCGCTCGCTGAGCGTCGAATACAATCGGCTCGAGTTCTACGGCATATATTTCACACGGGAATACGGTCAGAATATATTTTAACATACACACCTGGCACGCTCAGCAAAAATCTTTTCGCGCTTATATTCTCTCATTAAATAAAATACGAGTTTAAAAATGTAGAAAAACATGAAATGTAAATAAAAGACAAAAATATCACTTTTTTTGTTACAATATAACTCAAAAACAGTTTTCCAGACAATTAGTTTAAATATTTTAATTCATGAAAATTTAATAATTTTAATTTTGAAATGCAATTTTTATGTAAATGTTGATCGTGAATGAGTCAAAGTATATTTAAAATGTTTCTTCTTGTTCTCTTTTAGCAAACAACTAAAAAAGAATGATCTTTTAATTATATGTTGATGTTGCAGCAAATGAGCGATATACATGTAAATAAATAGGAAACGTGTGTATGTGTTTAATGTAGGTAAATAAGTTTTTAGCACAGTCAAGAAATACCAAGGAAATAGATGGAACAAAATTTTACTTGACCACCCAGTGAAAAATTCACGGTCACTAGCTAAACAAAGCGCAGCTTTGGAGCACGGACGGATGAACGAAGCGGCCGGTATGTTTTTGTAGAGAATGCTCCGTCCGAACGGTACCTCAGTTCTAGTAAAGCGGGTTTTAAAGGCAATCTGCCAGAGCATTCGTCTGCACGCCAGGAGCGTGTCTCGACCGGATCGTCGCGTCGATTCTCGGTTCGTGCTTTGATGAGAACGTGTTTTTGACGGTGTAAATGCAGCGGAACTCCACATGCCAGAATAGTCCAGTGGAGCGGTTAGTTATTTATGTGAAAGGCGAGAGTTCATAAACTCCCAAACAGCTACTCCCGACAGAAATCTCCCTGTCATTCTGCCGCATTATTATCGCCGCGTATGTTTCGCACGGAAAATTAATCTTAGAAAATGTGAGAGTTCAGAGAAAGAAACGCAGGTCACTGCATTATAACAAAAATTAGATAATAGAGCAAAGTAGAATATTACATTGGAGGACAAATCATATGCTCGTGGAAATAGGCATACTCTTATTTTATAAGACTTCCACGATATTTATCGTGCGATAAAACACGCTAGATAATAATATTTGATTTTCGCATCTCGTGAAACCTGATATCAGTCAGACTGTGTCGAGTAAAAACCCTCAAAAAATTTTATTACAATGAATTACAAACAAGTTAGTGCAAGACAACGTAAATAATACTTTTCTCTTTGCGTTTAATTAATTTTTTATCGTTCGTTTTCTCCAGTATTAGCTTCATGTTATTTTTCAATATGGAATAAATATCTTAATAATAAAAAGTAAAAAAATTTTTCTTTAATATAATTATTCAAATGTCAATGTATTTTCGCGCAAAGTTTAAACACGTTAATTAATTTCAGCACATCTTAAGCTTTTGTGTACATTCATCATGCCAAAATCTTATCGATGACTAATTATTTATTATCCAACATGCGTTTCGTATCAATTGCAGTCATGTAGTGATAAACAATCCAAGTTCGGCGAATTCAATTCGCAACTGTATTTGTTCGCGCGGTTTTACAATCTCCTTGGTGAAATAAATCTAATTAACTTTCTCACACCGATGGTAACTACTATTAAATACCTTGCAGCGAAGTTCAATTGTCTTTACGGTCGTTACTCCGGCAGGAAGGTGTCGGAATAAATAGTCGTAAAAGTCGGACCACGTAATTGCGGTTAAATCTTCGGAATTCCTCCATCAGTCACAATCTTTGCTTTTACACGGTGTTTCTGAGAGATCAGACAAAAAAAGGCGATTTTTCCTTTTTTTTTTTTTTTTTATCACATTGTTCTTTTACGGACAAAATTTTTAGTAAAGAAATATTTCTTCCGATAAAACTGCCGAACTTTAGAAATCACGTTTAGATTCGTATTTAAATGCAAAATTAAAATCCAAAATTGCACTGGTCTCCTAAAATAAAAAAAAAAAACTTTCGCGCGTCCTGCTCGAAAAATTTGGATCTTGCGCGTGTTATACTCAAATTAATTACATTTCCATCAATTTAACAAAGAGCATAATATATTGTAATAGCATGTAAGTATACGCACCTGTCTGAAAGGCCAATTTGTGTCCGTGTCGTTAAAGGGAACATTCACGCCACCTTGAAGAACGATGAAAGTGCCTGGGGCCCAGCGGGTTTCATTCGGTTTTGCTTTGAGACGTGAGACGAGTCGTTGACGATTATCGCGAAAAAGGAACATGGGCACTTTTAAGGTCTCACAGTTCCGCCAAAAGTGAGGTTTCCTGACGCATCTAAAATTACAACTCTTGCATTAGTAAAACATTATCGAGAAACGATTGCATTTAATCAATTACATTAATAAGAAATAAGAATGTTCCAATTTCGTATTGAAACTTGTTTAACGCTACCCTAAATTTCGAGTTATTATTGAAAGTCATAAATAAAGATAAGACTCTGAATAGAATTTGATTCTGACGTTACGATACGTTGTTCGCAAATAATTACTTTGCTTCCGATAAAATCACTAAAACTTTCTAAAAAGAAAGTAGCCAAGCGTTTATTGCTCCATCCATTTTAGTTCATCAATGCCTCTACTTTTACAGCGGCCTTAGAACAGTATATTTAGATGACTCATAAGAGTTACATCATAAAAATGATAAAGCATCATCATCATAGTAAGGCTTTAGATAAAAAAATTTCAAAACAAGAATACAATACAATTGATGATACATGCAAAAATAGAGCTGACGCGCACAAAGTATAATACTTTACTTACAATCGAATTAATCTTGTGCACGTCTTGACATCTTTCTTGTGCCGATTTGTCGCGGCTTCGATTTGAATAAATTTCGAACAAAGATAATTCAACGTGCGAGAAGGTGAAAAAACACGTAAAACAAAACGGCCAGTGACCGTTTTAATGAGCATATTCGTTTAAAAATAACACAATTTCAACAGATAGAATGTGGAACGCTCGTTCCAGTAAAGATTTTTGAAAGAATATTATTTGTTTTTATTTAAAAATTTCAATAATATATATTTCTATTATTTCTATATCATCTCGGAATTTTTCCAAGAAAAAGTTATATCGCTATATTACTGAATGAGGATCGCGTTTCAGTGATGAAAGAACGAAGACTCTCGTGACATCTGTAATAAGACCGCGCGTTGTAAGACAACATGCTCGATATTTGGCGTCTAGTAATTACACAGTATGAGCATAAATAGAACACTCGAGACGCGACGTGTATTCTTACAAAGAAGCAAGAGAGAGAGAGAGAGAGAAGTGGTTTCGTGCGGCCTCGCGTATACGTATTCGGTTCGTATTTTAAGCCGTGTCATTGGACGACTCGCGTCTCTTGACTGACACAATTCTTGTTCTACTATATATTCCCTCGAGACGAAACGCGTGACAGCGAGCACAGGAAACTTAGAGCGTGCTAACGAGATACATGCGCGGTAACGTGTATACCGTACGCTATACTTAACCCCCTACAACCCCATGTCACACGCGAGTTTAAGCTTCCCCAAATTCCGCACGTACACTAATTTAGCCGCACAGCATCGTGCATCACTTTTAATGTCTACACGAAAATTATATTTAACCTGGCAGTGACAACCGAAGAGCGAAAGAGAGGAAAAAAAATGAGAGCGAAAGAGAAAAAGTATGCAACTATATATATGTAAATGCACGACAATTCGATGTTATCATATCGATTTTCCTTGATGCGAATGACATCGTATGTAAACGAGAACGGATTTATAAATTGCTTAATTATCTTTATCTCTATTAAGAATTTAAATAAGATATAGATGGAGATAACTAGATATAGCGTTTATTAACATTCTAGAGTCCTCTAAGAATATAGGAATAATAAACTCAAAGAAAGAAGAAAAGAAAGAAGCAAATTAAAAGAAAATAAAAAATAAAAAACGGTAACAAAATAATAATACAAAAAATAAGAACAAAAATAAAATCAATAAGAACCAAAATTATAAATATAAGGAGAAATAAAGAGAGAGAGAGAGAGAGAGAGAGAGAGAGAAGGAAATAATTTAAATATTATATGGTAGGCTCTTTAAAGATACAAATTGACAAGCACAGAAGAAAAAAAATACAGTTCACACAATAAAAATAATAATGATAATTATGAAATAACAACAGAGAGCAAGAGAAAGAAAGAGAATTATTATATCAAGGGTTCTCCTTTCAGGCGCTATAAACAAAAAAAGAAAGAAATAGAGAGTTACTACTTGACATTGAACAATACGTTCTGGTCGCGAAAGCAGTGAAAACATCGCGGATTAGACGTGCAATCAATGTCTTCTATTAGCTTTACGCTGTCGTCAACTTTCCTTGAGTTTACGTACGCAAATGCGTCATCGGCATCGCCGTAAAAACGCGCCTGAGACACGAAAATTCCGCGTGAACATTCTCCGAGTAAAGCATTCCAGACGCAACACTAGCAAGTCTACAGTCGTATGTTAATTATTAACTTGGTTTCATCGGCATAAATAAAATGTGCATCGTGTTCGATATGAATTTTTTATAAGATAAAATAAACACACGTGAAAAAAATTATATATCAGCTGAATAACCAGCGCGATGACGGTCAGTTCCATGAATTATTATTTTCCGAAATGTAACGTCGTAATACGTTGTACGACGTTACGTCATCTTTCCCCACTAAAGGGAAAAATTTACTTTGGTTATCTAATCACAGTGAGCAAAAAGATTACGTCGTTTTCCTCGACGATGCTGATTTACTTTACGTCGTTTTACTTGACGTTGCAACAATTTTTTTAGCTACATTATAATCGTATGTACTCTTATCATGCGACGTGTAGACAGACAAATAACAGCATTGTTTATCGACGAAAAAAGACAAAACGTGCCAGTTTAATATGTTACATAAAAACGTCAGTATTTAAGAAAAAAAAACACGGTAGGAACGTATGGTGCGACTCAAAATTTAGGGGCTTGCAAACAACGGCGATAACAACCCGTGTGCTGTTTTGTTTGCTGTAAGCGCGATACGACGTACATATCACATGACCGCAGCTGCAAAAAGAAAAAGTTAGATAGTACCTTGAACCTCGTTCTACTCCAGTTACGTCATCGAGAAACAGACTGGAGCAGATGTAGCAAGATTTCTGCTCCGAAATTTTGGAGCAGATATTTAATAACGTACGCTGTTAAACTTATAATGTCAAATTATACTGAATCTAAAATTAATTTTAATCATTTCTACAGGTCGCCACTGCTCAATAAAGTTAACTAACTAAAATAATTATATAATAATTTAATTCAAGATAATGTATCATGTTTTGATTCAAATTATAAACATATGAATATTTCAATTCATTTGGTTTAATGTTTACGTATGAATAATCAAGATGTTATGAATATCATTTACGTTGAAACTAATCATAGAAATAGGTTAATTTACATTTTGACACACATGAAAGTTAAAAATATTATTTAATTCAAGACGGACTATTTAAAGTGTTATCATTACTTCTTCGATATCTAACTTCGATATAACAGTGTATTTAACAATAAATGTATTTATTTTGCATTTTTTACAAGCAAAGGCAACTTCTCTAATCATTGAGTTACGTAAGAACTCACTCTGTTTCGTTCGTCATTTATTACCTTTAGTTATAATTTATACAAAGAAAACAGCGTAAGTAACGTGCAATGAAGCAGTTTTCCAGCAGTTTGAGAGAAAATGATTCGATTGAAACTTTGACTCCGTTTTGGAAGCGAGGCAGAGTGAGTTGATCAAATTGATCTATAAATAATTCGCAGAAAAGTTAAACGCTGATTTCGCGGAAACCGTTATGTAAAGAATGCAAAAAGTGTATATTTTTAAGAGAGGTCGCGCTTCCCTCGTGCGAAACGGCCGGCCACGTGCTTAGCATAATTACGGACAATGCAACGTAAACAACGCGTCATTAAATTCCGCACGCAAAGTCGGGCAACCTAGAAACCTTCTTAAGCGGACGTATTTTCTACGAAGAACTTCATTCTACTCCGCGAAATAAAGACACGTCACGACAACATAAGCGCTGCATGTAGTACAAGCCAGCTATACGCTCTCGTGAAATTATATTTTTCTTATGAAAATGGAACGTGTAATAAACCAAACTAATTAAGGGTTGCCAACAGCACTGCTGCTGTAGGGGAGAATCAATCAACCTCTGAAGAGACCTTCAATTATTTTGACCTACTACATGCAATGTTGCTACTTCTTTGTAGTAAGCCCAACCCATTCGTTACATCTCGTGCGAGTACTGTTATCAGACAGTCCAAGGGTCAACGCGAATCTAACGGAGCGCGGACGTGGCTAACCGCACGCATAACCTCAAAATCCGGCCAGGCTAGGTCAGAGGGATCAGGGAGGGAACGCGAGGGAATTGACAAATGGAAAGAGCGTGAAGCCAAGCATCGTCGACGATTTCGCAATTCGATTCGCGACCTATTCGCTCGAGTATTCTGTCGACCGCCTGCGTTGGGAAATCGCCGTAAACGCTCGCTCACGCAGCTTGAGACCGACGTGATTTCGAAAGGAGTTTGCGTCGTAAACACGAGAGAAGAGGGTTGCCTTTCAGCAATAACAGAGAGACGACACGGTGTATCATCCTTCTGTCGATGTAAATCGTTCTTGCGTCTCTTGCTGGAAAAACACTGGAAACGAAGTGAAGAACTCTCGCCGAAGAGTCCGAATATTCCCGAACGAATACGTTCGCTGCACGCAATTAAACCCACTTCCGCGAAGGGCAATGACACAGCGGAAACACATGGATGTGTATGTATACATACGAGTCCGCACGGCTGCATTCCGCCGCCATGTTGCTCGCTCGTAGGTGTTGTGTGCGCGTCGTCGCTGGCTGTCGTCGATAGTCGCCCCGTCTCGAAAGCGTGGCGAGCTATTAGAACCGACGGGAGCGGTCACTGCGCTGGGTTTGGACTTTCTTTATACGAACGCGGATCGTGCGTATCGGCTTCGTTATCGCGTGCGACGACACAACGATGCGCACATCTGACAGCTCGGTCACGTGGTCGCGCGGCACGTGGTAGCCGACTCCGGCCGACAGCGCCCGAACGCGGCGCGGTCGACAATGACGTGATTTGACGCATGCTCAAAACGCCGTCCCGATCCGCTGAAATGCGCTGTTTCTTTATTTTCCAAGACATTTCTTCACTACAAATGTTACAATTGTAAGGTTTCGACAAGGTTAATCGAGGGGTAGAAATAGAAACGTAACCGGTTAAGGAAACGATGGAAAGATGTCAGGAATAGCTTGAAAGATCTAGGATGAAACACACGTTAGTTAAAAACACACTTTATTGCAGAGCGTCTAGGACGCGACTTCTTAACGTATTCTTGAACTTAGAATTACTGTCGACCAATCACAGGGTCTCTTCTCCATAGCACAGCGCCACGCTGTGGTAGGGAGTCTGGTAACGAGCGCATTGCCAACTTAAAAACTATGAGAAGCGAGTTGTCGCTTACACATTTATGAGAGAGGCCTATTTTTAGCTCAACTTCAATAATTTATCTTTGCTCCTTTTTTCCATGTTGAAGAAAAAAGAAGAAATTAATCATGCGAGAAAGAACAGATCTAATCATTTTCTCGTCATATATACATATATGTTTGATTTCGGATAAACAATAATTAAAAACAACAAGAATGAGTTTTGCGTAACTCGCAATTAATGTTTAGAGAGATCGTCTTTGTTTGTAAAAAAAAACGCAGTAAATAAATAAATACATTTATGTTAGAAAAACTGAGATGTGTAATTTAGTGTAAGAAATCTAGGAGAGTACGTTTTGCATAATTCTAGTCTATTAAAAGTGGGTTTAGGATACAGTAATAATTAATGTAAATAGAGTATTAAAAAAAAGTTTAATGATATGGATAAATGTGTATGTATGCGTGTGTGTGTGTGTGGATTAAAATTTTTTTGTTAACTAAATCCCTTCTTGGCAATGTAAGCTGAAGTAAATAAATATTTTAATTCTGCTATATTTATGTTATAGTATATCTCTCATTTGCTATAATAATGGCATGATCTAAAAATAGTTATTTTTAAGTTGTTTACAGAAAAAAAATATTCTAATTAGCAAGCTGATCGATTTATCGTCATTTTGACGTCAAAATGATAACAAATAACGTCAATTTGTCACCTGGAATGTTTCCATTCCTTTTCTGTAAACAACTTAAAAATAACAATCTTTGAGTTAGGTCATAGTAAAAAAAAGAATATATTGGGAGTACAAATTAGTTCGGTCCGTTTTCCAAAAGATGATCGCCTCCAAAATTTTTTCGAGATGGAATTCGAAAATTGCCTGGGGAAAAAGTAGTAGCCAGCGATGGACAATACTTTAATTAATCTGTTCATTCATTGCTTTGAAATAAATGCATTTTTGAACACAAAAACGGACCGAACCAATTTGTATGTACACCTAACATTTTAAAAGAACATTTTTATCCCTCTACATCTACAGTTATTACATCAAAACGGCATTTGAAAAGTAATATTTCAAAATTTTAATTTCAAATTTATTTTTTGGAAAACTTATCTGTTTTTTGTTTTAAGTATGTCGTGGAAAATGAGTGATATATTTTTATATACATTTGCTTATACTTTTCTTATTAACTTTGCACTTGAATAAAAAGATATTATTATTATTATTATAAGTACGTAGTACTATATATTTTGCGGAAAAAACTTGTAATTAAATCTCGCACGGAATGCCAGAAACCCGGGTTTGACTTCCGACCGAGGTCAAGAGACGCGGTAGTGTCTCCGGCCATGTTAAAAAACTGATAGTATATTTTCCGCAATGAAAAATTAATATTATTTAGTTTTTAATAGGTTATTCAACATTTACTAATGTCTTACTAGATTGATATAAGATCGTAAACAGCATCAATAAATTGTTAGTCAATTTAGCTCGTGATATTACTGCGGTAGTTCATTAGTGTTACGTTCTAAGTCTGAAAAAATTTCGATGCGCATTCGTAGTATAAGATCAATTTACACGTAATTATTTGGAAGCATTCGTGATCTAACTTAGATCGCTTTGTCTCGGCATTATCTCATTCGGTTTAAAATTTAACGGTCCAATAAGAATTGAAACTGTTTCTGTAATTAAATATCGTGAGTTCGGAGAAATTAAAATATTAAAATATTTTTATATTCATGTTTATTTAATCAATATTCATAGATATATATGTATATTGTACCATTTATTCGTCGCATCACCGGAAGCTTCTTAATGAGTGTAGGCTGTTTCTCGTTCATCTTCTTTCTTTCTATCCCTCCTATCCAACTAGGTCGCATGGCGTTCGCTATCTTACGCCGAAATCTGTGTCAACACACAGACAAGGCCGATATCTGTTATTAGACGAATTGTTGACTTACGGCCCCGCCGATCTGAGAAATCAACGAAGATTATCGACCTCGTTTGCTGTACAATCTCGGTATAGTAGAAAAATAATGTGGGCCGACGAAGTTACGAAGATAAGTGAATCTCAAGTACATCTCCACAATTTACGAAAACATTGCATGTTATTAATAATACCACGATAGTGCGAGTTGATCATTTATCGCGTTATCGCCGAGGGGATAATCACTTAATGTAATCGTGGGACGGAGTCCCTGAAATCATTATGTAAAATTTATATGAAAAATTCTTATATATAATCCGATAATTACATATGTAAGTATAAGAAGTAATTGTACGTGTAATATTAGATAAAATCGTTTATTTTACCAAATGACCGTATATATAGTGAGGAAAATTATTTATTATATCAATAATAAAATTATATAAAATTAAATAAAATTATGTAACCTGTAGGACAATATTTGAGATAGTGGTTATCGCGCATACATTTCGGGATGACGTAACGCCAACATGGCGTTTCTCGTACGAAACAACCGAAAGGATTGGATCGAAAGGCGAATGGAAACTCACAATCGATGATTCACTACCAGTCTGATTCACGTGTACCACGTACTCTTGTCGACCGTTTCCGGCTGTCCTGGTTTCCCTCTCTTCATCAAATTATATCGGAATCCGAAAACATCTTGAAACAGGATTTTATTTCTCATATCGTACCGTTTCTTTACCCTCAAGAACATCGCCAAACAAAAATTACGACACGATGCCGTCTCGCGTACGCATTTATTATAGCGCAAGGTTTTCTTTCAAACTCTAGCCGATGTAGGATCCTATTCTCAGTTTACTAACGACAAGCTCGAAGGCCTTGCCCGAAGGTCGCTCGAGCATTACACGTACCTATTATATAAAGCGCTATTTGCCAATGCGAAACGTGATAAAAAGTATTGCCGTCGGCATAATTAATTAAATATATGATTGATATAAAACGAAAGATTTATCACCCCACTTTAGAATGAGAAAAACCGATAAATGGAGATTTTGTATATTGATTGCGCGAGCATTGCGTGTCAGTTACTGTTACTTTTATCAATCGTCAGAAAGCCTCGATATAGCGAGAAATACATTTTACATGTTCCAAACGATTCGTTCAAATTTCATCTAAACATAAGATGAATATGTTAGAAAATAACATATGTGTAAAAAAATCATCACAAAAAGGTAATGCTGACACAGTTTGTAAATATAAATTATTAAAGCATATTTTTTAGTATAATTAATAATTTATATGTTAAATAACGTATTTTATTCATTCATTAGAATTTACATGAAACACATTACTTTATGTTATACTTGTTCACTTATTCATAAATTATTATTTTGACATTAAGAACGCGTTGAATATTAATTTAATAGAAAATCTTTAAATATAACATAATCACATTATGTTAAATTACCACTCGAATATGTTAAAAAATTCAACACAAATGGTTAACAAGAAATATACAATGTTTTTCATCGTGTACACAGAGAAAAGAAATATCTTAATACAAAAGAATAAGCTTTTAGGACCCACTGAAAATAAATAATTTTCTTAAATACAATTTCTTTTGTAGAAAGTTCGTCAAAATGAATAAAAATGTGAATTTGGGACAAGAATCTTTCATGCATAATAAAGAATCAAAGAATCATCGTTATGTACTTAATGGATTTACATGTGCCGTCGCTGCGCTCTCGCATAAACGTTTCCACATATATTAATGCAAAATTAACATCTGTGTCATGCACGCGCGCGCACGCATATAACGCCAGATGGTGGACAACACGCATAATATAAACGGACGAATTGGGTCAGCAAGTTTTCCGTCGTTTATTTTCGCGTCGACCGGTAACATACGCGCGTGATTACTTCGATTACGCGATACCCGCCGGCAAATGCGATTACATTCGGGAAAGTTCTAATTACATAAGTGGTAAGAAAACGCACGGTATCCACGTAATGAGACGAGATCGTTGCGACAGGTCGCCCGCTAACGGTAACTGATCACTTCGTTAGGTAAGATTTTGTAATACCGTCCATTGTTAAAAATTCGTAGTATAAAATTATACCTAGTTTCAGTTTACTTTTAATTATTTCTATAGAGATCGCCACTTGGTGTACAGTTAATTTAACTAAAACAATGAAATGAAACAAATATTGAATTCGCGAATCAAATTCAGTTTATTTGGCAAATGCATACACGTTATTTAATATGAACGACGTTTACTTTGAAACTAATCACAGAGAGAAATGGATTGATTTACATTATTTTGACACGCGTGCAAATCGAAAGTCATAAAATACTATTCAACTCCAGAAATCGACTTACCACTGTTCCTTTGATATTTAACAGTGTCGAATAATACTTTTGCGCGAAGTAACGTAACATTTCAAACACGAAGCTGACGTTACAGTTTTATCGGTCCGATTTATTTTCACACACATTGCTGCAAATATCGAGAAATGTCGCTAGTCACTCGATCAAAATCTTTGACAACGAACGAGCGGTGACTCGCGGAAAACAGCCGACTTCTAACAAGCTCAGCTTTCGAGCACGTCTCAGGATGACATTTGACTTTTCGTCGAGGTCAAGTTTGCTCG